GCACGCCGCGCGAGGGCGAGGTCGCGGCGCCCAGCTGCACTCACCATCGCCGGCCGTCAACCCCTGCCCGGAGCGCGGGTGCAGATCGCGCGGACGCTTGGCTTGGATTTCACATCAATTTTTTTTCCTTGCCCCCCTTTCCTGGTCCTCCGCTCCTCTGTCTTCTCTCGGTCTTCCCTCGTCTCCCCCTTGCCTTGTCGCTGCTGGTCTCTTTGTCTTCCCTGTCGTCTTCTTTTTCTTCGTCTTCGTCTTGGTCTTCTCCTCCTCCTCCTCCTCCTCCGTCTTTACAAAAGGAACGGAAAGGGTAAAAACCCCGGCGCGCTGGGCCGCCGGAGGCTTTCGGCGGAGTGCAGCGCGGACTCACAATTACAAGGCTGTTTCTATTAAGCAGTTCCATGGCCCTCGGCGTGGGTGGTCTGCAGCGCCATAGGCAGGACCTGTCAGGGTCACGTGACGGATCCGAAAACTTTACCCCTTTACAATAAACTCAAGGAAAGCAAAGTAAACTCGAGGAACGTGCTATCAGCACAGCCCTCCTGGGTAAACAGGCGCTCCCCTCCCCGTCTTCCTGGGAGGCGCCCAGCAGAATGAGCTCCCGCGAGTCCCGGCTGCCCCCTCCCGCCCACCGCGGCCCTGTCTGCTGGGGGCCACCCGGCGGGGGCTCTCCGTGCGCTCCCTCGCCTTCCCCACCTTGTGCCATCCCCCACCAAACACATTTGCGAACATTTAGCCTTCTTGCCAGAGCCCTGGGGTGGAGGTGAAGCTCATTTCAGCATCCACAGCACTCAGGGAAATGGGGGGGTGGGGGTGCCCAGGGGGTTACAGAAGAACACCACCTTTCTTGTCCTCAGTTTTCAAAGCCCTTTCCTGCTGGCATTCCCACGGCAGGCCTGAGAAGCTGGGAGCATTCTGGTTGACAGGCCCCCAGTCTGACAGGGAGGCAGAGAGCCAGGGAAGCTAGGCAGATAACAAGAGCTTCCCCGGGGAAATGTTCAATATAGTAAGATGTATGTGGCTCCGTGTCATTTCTGACTGAGGTCTCTGGGAAATCGCTGCTTCTAAGAGACCAAGGTGGAGTCCCTTGGAAGCCAAGACTGGTGGCTGGCTGAGGAATCACAAATTGATATTTGCTTCTTTTCCATTCCAATTACTGTGGTTTTTGGGGTATGCCACCCAAATGCTCCCACCCACGCTGCCTTCCCGGACTAGGCTAGTTTGGGTGGACGGGTTAGACGGAGGTGTTTGTGGGTCCGAGGAGAACGGCTCTGAGTCTCTTGCCCTGCATTGAAACGTCCTATTCAGGAGAGACCCCACCACAATGTTTAACATTTTATCTGCTCAAACCAGCCGGCTGGACCTTGTTACACACACAGCTGAGAGGTGCTGTTTTAAATGGGCCACATTATGAGTAAAGACGAATTATAGACACAAGGAGAGGGAGGAAAACCCATTGCCATCGAGTGGATTCTGACTCATAGCGACCCTATGGGACAGAGTAGAACTCCCCCATAGGGTTTCCAAAGCTGTAAGTCTTTTCAGAAGCAGACTGCCACATCTTTCTCCCATGGAGTGGCTGGTGGTTTCCAACTGCCCAACTTTCAGTTATCAGCCGACAGCTTAAAGACTGTGCTACCAGGGTTCCTTGGAAAGGGAGGAGGGGGAGAAAATTTACTGAAACTGTCAAGAGTTAAGGAACCCTGATGGCGCAGTGGTTAAGCACTCGGCTGCTAACTGAAAACTCGGCAGTGGTTTGAACCTACCAGCTGTTCTGTGGGAACTGACTCCATGGCGGTGGGTTTTGATATCAAGAGTTAACCAGCTGATCTTCAAAGAAAGCCAGCCTTTCTCTTGTCATTGAGTTCTGGACAGACAATGTGATTAGATGTGTGTATGTTATTAAAAAAAAAAAATCCTAGATGTTATGATTCATCCCCTCCCCCAAAGATGATAGATGTTCTTCAGCATAGGGTCATTTGAGCTTCCAGAGTGCTTGTCTTTGAGACACATTAAGTAATTAGACGGTGGGATGCTGGGCAGTCCTGTGAATTAGGCTGAACCAGAAAGTCATTGTGTACCAATTGGCTTTAGTAAAAAAAAAAATAGACTCAAATGAGTCCTAAGAGTTATAATAATTGTGGGAAAAAAAAATCACCATTTCCTCAGTAACATTTCCCCCTATGTTTTGGTATCATATCAAAAGACCCTATTCATACCCTGCTATGAACTTGGGTGAATGAGGAAGAGGAAGGTATAATACATCTCCAAATAGAGTGCTTTAGGATGTGAAAGAGAAAGGGGGATAAGAAAAAGAAAAACAGGACTGGGCATTTAAATGCAGCACAGTAAAAAGTTGCTAAGTATGCTAGTTTTGTGGGAAAATTCCAGCAGCACCTGTGGAGTTTGCTTTTCAGAATCAAAGTGAAGCCCTTCACGCAAGCACGCTAGTACACTTGGCACTTGCACCTTGAGTGGTAGCCAAGGCTGGTGCTCAGGGGTGGACCCGTGTGCTGTGGAACCTGAGGCTTATGCAGCTTGATGGTGCTGTCTTTAGGAATTCAAAATTACAAGCACAGATTACTACAGGGCCTTGAAAGTGGCCTGTGCACTGAGGGGCCCTGAAGGTTCATAAGCTTCTTGGCAAGTCTGCCCCTTTTGATAATGCAGGTGGTTCCTAGGTAGTGCAAACGGCTTATGCTCAACTACTAACCTAAAGGTTGGCAGTTGGAACCCACCTAGCATCACCATGGAAGAAAAGCCTGGCGATCTGCTTCTGTAAAGATTATGGCCAAGAAAATCCTATGGAGCAGTTCTACTCTGTAACATATGGGGTTGCCAAGAGTCAGAATTAACTCGACAGCAACGAGTTTGGGTGATAATGCAGAGCCAAGAGACTACAAAACTATCCAGTTTTTGTGGTCTTGTTGGTATACATGATCTGTTAGTTTGGACTGAGAGTTTTTGTAGGAATGTGTTAATATTAGTCACGTTTCAGTCAAAGGCTTTCCAACTGGCAACAAAGACAAGCTTGGTTTGAGTGTAAATAGTTGGAGTTGGGCAGGAGCCAGAAAGTGAAGTGGGGAGAGAAAACTTTTGGTATTGGAACCTAATGGGTCAGCAAGGAGGGGAACCCGCTGGAAGTGTTTTCTCCCAAGAGTAACAGGTCTCTCTTTTCTTTCCTCTGGAATAAATTTTTGCAAAATATGTCAATTTTGTGCCTCTCTTCCCATCCACTCGCAGATGCTAGAGAAGTTAAATCATCAAGGTGATATGTGTTCCCCTTTGGGGCCCAGTGCCTTAAGTTGCTACCTTTTGGTGTTTCTCTGAGACTTTCCATCAGGGTGGGCCCTCTCCCACCAAAAAGCTGCCCTGACCTTTCTAAAATTGCCTGTGTCTCATTCCTTCCTGCCCAACCAGCTCCAGCTCAGTGGGCGGTCTGATAAACCACTCGGCACCAAGGTGTTAATGGCTGACCAAGCTACGAGACACCATAGAGTTCACTTCCAGCCTGCCCAGTCTGATAAACCAATTGGCATCAGGATCTCAATAGTTGACTAGAATACTAGACAATACTTTTGCAACTTAACTTGGATTTTTAGAGGAGAGTTAATTCCAAATTGGGGGTTTCAGGGTGCTAAGGCAGGACTAACCAAAAAACCAAACTTGATGCTGTTCTGACTCACAGCTATTCTATAGGACAGAGTAGAACTGCCCTATAGCGTTTCCAAGGCTGTAGATCTTTACAGAAGCTGACTGCCACATCTTTCTCCGGAGGAGTGGCTGGTGGGTTTGAACCACTGACCTTTCGGTTAGTAGCTGGACACTTAACCACTGCGTCACCAGGGCTCCGCAAGGCAGGACCAGATGGGAATGTCTGGGTCATTGGAGGAGGGGGCAATAAAGGGACCTTATGGAATACTTCAAAACAGAACCCATGGGCATGAGCAACTCTGTTGATGGGCAAGGTCATCCTTGGCTTTGTCGATCTGAATTGTTTGTTGTTCCTTAAGACATAGTGTTTGTTGCCCTTGTACCACACATACACATACACATAGTCTCTCTCTCTTCGTTCTACTCTTCCTTCTTCCCTGGCTCCCACTAAAAGTAAGTGTCTAAGCACTTTCATTTATCCCTTCCTCCATGCCAAAAACACAAAAAATCAAACCAGTTGCCTTGCCAGTGAGTCAATTCTGACTCATGACAACCTCATATGTGTGGATTAGAACTGCACTCCACAGGAGTTTCAAGGCTGCAACCTTTCAGAAGCAGTTCATCAGGCCTTTCTTCTGAGACACCTCTGGGTGGGTTTGAACTGCCAATCTTTCACTTAGCGGCTAGTTAACCGTTTGCACCACCCAGGAACTCCTTTCTTGGTGCCAATCCCTAGCAATTGGAACACTTTCAGCTGAATAACTGAAGGGTTAGAAGAAACATTTGCCCACATTTAAAAAGCTGTCCCCATTCATCCTCAGGATGAATGCCACTTTTGTACATGGTCAGTGGCCGTGTCACACTGGCCACACCTTAGCAAGACAATTATTTTATATCAGATCCAACAGATCTCATAAGCTTTCATATGAAGCCATCTTGCTTACTTTAGGGATTCCAAGTCTAAATGAAATTCCCTCACCCTTTCCTGTCAGGAAGATACCCACAAGCCAAACCAACTTGTAGAATTAGGGCTTTGAGGACTGGAGGGGTAAAAAATACCTAAAGATGTTTAGTTGTTCTAACACGGACTTAGGAGACCAAGTGAACAACTGAATTGTAATGGTAAGATGCACTGAAACAGCAAAAGGAATTGTTTAAACAACAACAGCAAGAAGTACAACAGGATTGCAGAATCAAGGTTGAACATATTTCTCTGATAGATACAAAAGGTAATGAGTGGTGTGAGCAGAAAAACCTGAACAAATAGCTTGGAGACAAGAGGGCTGGAGGAAAACCTGGAATATCATAAACAAAGGCTCCTAGGGAACCAAGGAGGAGGGAAGCACACAGAGGTTCAAGAGATTGGATGATAATCTCAGGACAAGATGAAGCAAGTAGAGAGAGAGACCTGTGGACACCACCCCCTCCCACCATCAAAAAAGTGGAAAGTTACTCCATTTGTACACACAGGACTCCCATTGATGAGATTTCTGTATGTAGAAATGCAAGATCAGCCCTATAAACAAAGAAGATGCTAAGAAAATGAAATGGCAAGGGAGCTTTTAAACTGTGGGAGGTAGGTGTGGCCAGGGTGGCTGATAGTGATGGGTGAGTGCAGGGAGAAATGTTGTTAGCTGGCATCAAATCACCCACGGAATGAAAAGATGCCCAGTCCTGCACAGTCCCCTAGATCAGTTGCAGATCAAACTGTTGTGCTCCAGAGGATTTTCATTGGCTGATTTTTCAGTAGATCACCAGGCCTTTCTTCCTTGTCTGTCTTAGTCTGGAAGCTCTGCTGAAACCTGTTCAGCATCACAGCGACACACAAGCCTCCACTGACAGATGAGTGGTAGCTGCTCCTGAGGTTCCTGTGGGGAACCCAGGTCTCCCACAAATGTTGTGGTTATTTGCCATGGAGTCAATTCCAACTCATGGCAACCCCATGTGTACAGGGTAGAACTGCTCCATAGACCTTTTAGGTCTCC